CATACGGCATTAACACTTTCTGCAGGTCCACCGGGACACTTTACGACGCTGACGATGCATGCACCGCAACCGGCCTCCTGACACATGTACTTCGTACCGCGCAGCTCCAGCCATCTCCTCAGGTACTCCAGCAATGTTACATTAGAACTTAGTTCACAGCCAACTAGAATAAGTTTCAACATGTTTTCATTATTTAGAATATGGTATAAAAATCTTATGGTTGTAAATTTAATCATATTTCCAATATAATAGCGTGCAAATTTATCTTAAATAATAAAATTAGAATTTTATATATTAAATCAAGCCTTATGTGATTTTATAATCACATTATTTATTTTTATATCCGGACACTCAGCCATATATAAATAGGCATGCAAATGTCATAAATTTTTGCTATGTCATATAATAAAAACATTAACATAATGTCATATAATACGTAAGCTATTTATAATCAATTGTTGTCAAACTTATAGGCCAAATATTCGCCTACGCTATAAAAGCACCTTGACTTTAGAAACCAATCACCTTCCCTTTGAAGACATTACATGACAGCGATCTATAATTCTGGGAAGGTGATTAAATATTCTTATAGCCATGGCGTTACAATTTTTAGAATATAGCGCGGTGAACATGCAGGCACCCGCAGTGTTGGATCCCTCGGTATATATAAGACGTTTCTTTGTATGTATTAAATACCGAAAATTGTATCAATTAATTATAACTTTGAAAAGTTACAGAGTATGAGCAGAGTTAAGTTTTCGCTATAAAAAATAAATAAATCACTGGCGTTACAACCTCTTTAGGTCTTGGCCTCAGACTTCTGAATCTGTTTCATGATCATTTTAAAATCTAATAGGCATGTAGGTGATCAGCCTCCAGTGCCTGACACACGCCGTCGACTTTTTGGGTCTAAGACATGTCGGTTTCTTCACGATGTTTTCCTTCACCGTTCGAGCAAATGTTAGAAAGAATGTCCATTGGTTCACAGCCGGGAATCGAACCTACGACCTTAGGTATGAGAGTCGCACGCTGAAGCCACTAGGCCAACACTGCAGTTTTCGCTATTAAGTTGTACAATTAATTTGCCCAAAACATATTAGAGCTTAGTTTAACTTAAGCAGATACTCTTTTACACGTTATCACGATCACACGATCGACTATGTATTTGCGTTTTGTTCCCACGAAAATGTAAGTGCGTGCTCCTATTCCACCATGCCTACTGCTGATAGAGGACAAATCTTTGTTTTTTACTTTTTTTATTATAATTAACTATTAATTACTTAAGACGTCATGTGGAACATGATGTAGTGAATGCAGCTCCTTACAAACATTTTGTAAAACAAAAAACTTGGTGATTTTTTAATTCTCTTCTCGTCCGTTCTAAGGGCTCCCACACAAAACTGCGAATTCGCATCGCATCGCAAATATCTGCGAATTCGCACGAACGCACCGCAAGAAGTTCCGATCTGCTTCGCATCGCACATTCTTGCGATATTACGTCATCCTTAGTGACGCCATTTTAGTCCGCTCTGAGACAGCTTTAGAGAAAGACGCGCGGCGCCTCCGCCGCCTTCTTTGTTTATAAAAAATTGCGGAATATGATATGGATTTTTTAATATTCTTAATTCAGGAGCGTCCCGTCCTTAGGGACACAAGTGATGAACATTATAAAAATAAATTTATTAAGCAAGATGCGTGGAAGAGCGTCTGTGAAAGTTTGCATCAGAGTTCATAATCGTAATAAATGAATGAACCCAGAATCTTCTTTTTCTTTTATATCTATTTAACAATAACAGCAGTGCAATTATCTTTTTGCGATCCATCTTACGCGTCCTAAAAACACGTCCAGTACGGCTGACTACGAAGGAACGGTCGCCCTACCAAACGGTTTGTCGCACTAAATCGTATCGCAGAAATTCGCATCGCAAATTCCTGCGATGCGAATTCGCATGCGAGTCCTTAGCCCTTGATTTGAGAACTTTATATGTCTGCAACATATGTTTGTATGTTGAGCATTTTATTTGTTTTTCTTTATTGGCGTTCAATAACATTGTGTTCTCTAAATGAATAAATGATTTTGAATTTTAATTTGAAACCCCAGTAGTCTTCGTAAAGGGGCAAAATTATGGTAGGTTGTGTTTTATAGACATGAAATATGTTATTACTGCGTAATAAGTACCTACACTTCTGGTAAGATAACTACATGATTGACATTTCCTGTCCTTGTTATTAAAGTTAACCTTCATTATACATTGCAGCAGTAAAAGCTTGGCATTCGGCTCATGCGAGACCGTTAACGTTAGACTTAAAAAGTTCCTTTCACGATTGACCTCAATCCTAGCTGTTTAAACCAAAATAGTTATCCTCTTTCATTTAATTTTATGTTATGCATTTATTGCAGGATCAACTTTTATAAAAAATTCAAGTTATTACAGACATATTTTCAGATTGGTCTTATGTCTAAATCGTTTATATAATGTTTACTAAGCATGGCATAAAACGTACTTTATTTCTTATTATATTATATTTGGATTGATCAAATTTTTTAGAATTAATATTAAGCGTATTAATTTAACATGGGGTATTGTTACACATAGATACTAGTTCAGTTTCCCAACTTCGGGTATGGTATGGGACGGGACGGGAGTAACACAGTGATGTAACTTCATACGCACAACATAAAAGGGGCAATATTGTCTAACACACATGCATACATATGGGCTACTAGACTTCACAGGTAAGAAATGACGGGAATATTACTACCGTTGAAATACAGTAAATATATCTAAAAAAGTAGAAGCTCAATGTATATTTTGCCAGGCCAAGCCTGGCCGACACAAAAGCCCGAATACGCGCATCTTATAGGAACAATAAATAATCATTCAATAAATCTATTCGTATACTTAAGGTAGCAATCACTTAATAGCGATTAGGTCGTTTTTATTTATTTGTACATTAAATTGTATTATGCGCAATGAATTGTAAAAAATATTTAGAGTAAGTGCTATTACAATTCTCTTAACTGTTTACTTTCCAGTGTTATTATGACTGGCTTGGCTTCTAGCAATGCTGCAAAAAGACGAGATTATACCACCCTACTATAAACTTTATTTGAACAAGCTATTTTTTTTTGCTTCGCGTCGCATTAAAGGAATTAGTATGCAACTTCAAACACTCCACACAACTTTGACACTCGAACGCAAAAGGATTTAAAAGTGACATACCGGTATGGTCAACACCGTTTACTTGGAACTGAACCCTATCCATGTCCGGCGCTCTCGACGACACGCACTCAACTCATGAATCCGTGTATTAATCTCCAAAACCAGTAGTCACCGTAATTCAAGTTGCATTACATACATGTATGATTATCTGTAGACCAATCCGACAACGGCTAAATTCTTTTGGGACTAGCACAAAACAATTTTCAAAAATACATTTCATAATTTAATTACTATTTAATTAATCTAAAATAGTATTACAATCTAAAACATACAAAAACCTAGACGAGTACTAACGGCACACTCTATGAAAGTTGCTTATAAATGTTAAAAAGTTACTACTTATACAGAAATAGGGTCTAATGTGAGAAATGTGTAATAATTTGTTATAGGTATAATTTTACACGTAATAATAAGACTTTTAACGAGTGTGGGTTGTTCATGTTATTGGTCACGACGTTCAAAACATTTCAGAAAATGAAGTTGTAGACATGGTCAGATTGTAAAATTTATCAGTTTATAGAACAATTATACCGGTATAATGGCGTATAAATGGTTATTTATTTATTATTATGGCGGGGGCTCCCCAGTACCAACTCCTTTCACTTGACCGTATTCAACGAAGAGCTGTCGAATCGTCGACGACCAATCCCTCTCCGAGCGGCTTGATCCTTTGGCGTTGCGTAGAGATGTGGGGTCACTCTGCATCTTCTACCGCATTTACCATGGAGAGTGTTCAGAGGAGTTGTTCGGATTAATACCTGCAGCTGAGTTTCATTATCGGACGTCGAGGCAGAATACAAAATTCCATCCGTATCACCTCGACGTCCGCCGTTCCACAACTGAGCGTTTTTCAAGGCAGTTTTTGCCGCGCACCACCACTTTGTGGAACCAGCTGCCCACTGAAGTATTTCCGAACCAATTCAACTTAGGGTCCTTCAAGAAAAGAGCGTACCAATTCTTAAAAGGTCGGCAACGCACTCGCGAGCCCTCTGGCATTGAGAGTGTTCATGGGCGGCGGTATCACTTAACATCAGGTGAGCCTCCTGCCCGTTTGCCCTCTGTTATATAAAAAACAAATACCATTGCATTATGTGTCGAAATCGACAATCGAGACACGAAAGATAACGTTGAATTATCTTAATAAAATTAATTTGGGACACAAACGCGTTTAATACTGTGAGTGATAAAAATTGCATTAAAATTGCAATTTTTAAAACGAATTATTTATTTTATAACTATTGATGCATTACATCGAATTATGTTGCAAAAGTGTAGAAATTATAAACAGTGTTCTATATAAATTGTTTATTAGTCAATGAAATATCTAGCCTTAGAGTCACTGACTAAAGTAGCGCGTAGATATTCCCTGCAACTTCCAAAACACAGGACATCTTCAGCCGGATCGAAGCCAAAATATTATGTTGGAATGACGCTACGCTTGGATGTTCAGGTTTCGTATTCTATAAGAGAACTATAATTCACAAAATGGCACTCAAAGGGACTATTTGTAATGTAGTCGTAGCCTCCATAGACGGCTAACAAAGTAATCATTAATTTTTAAAGAGTCTAAATTACTTTAGAGCCTTCTGTTTGAATAATCACAAACCGCTGCGCACTAGTTTATACATTGCTCGTTAAGTTAGATTTGCGTTATGGACCTTTGATAAGAGAATTATGTTCATAACGAAGGATCCTTTTTAATAGAAGAAGAGAACTGCAAAAAGTATGTTCTCCATTTGACAAGGTGCAAGCAGACTGTAGTATGTTTTAATTACCTTAATAGAATTTAAAATCTTCAATATTAGTAGCGCATGCCAAACAGATTTTAGCAATAGTGTAGGGGCCATCTGGAAAAAAAACTTATTTTATTTATAAAACAATTAATATAGAGGAAGAACTTTGTTTGCCGTGGATAGCGATATTATTTCTGATTCGGTAAGTAGATGATCACCCTTCTTACATGCCATGTAGGCGGTCTAATAGTAAGAACCATTTACCAATAGAAAACCACTTGTTGGTTGGTAGACCAGACTCCTTTCTGGCTTCGACGATGGCTTCTCTCATTGTTATCGGGATCACCACAGCCATACAAATAGGCGGCTCACCAGTCGCTAAAATTTTACATTTTTCTAGTACAAGTGGTCATACAAGACCTTATAAACGCGGAAGGTTTGCTCTGAGCTCAAAATAATAAAGGTAATTCTTATTCGTAGATTTGGAAGGGGAATTGTAATTTTCTTTTTCGTAAAGTATCAATCAAATCAGTATCAAGTAAAATGTTGCTTAAATTTAACAAATTTTTATTTATTTAACATATTATGTATGCATATGACTGCGACTAAGTAGAGAATAAGAAAGGGAAAACCTTTAGCTCCTAATATGTAGTCGTTGCTAAAAGATTTTTTCCTGAAATATATACGGAAGTCTTGCGGAATGTCGCGAGCCTGAGGCACCCAATATTGCCAGGTACGGTCCGTCAACGTCTCCCCGGCCGGAGAGAGAATCAGCTCTTCGGTGGTCCAGTAACCGCATCCCATGATGAAACCACCCTCCACCTAAAATAACAAAAATAGGCCAATGGCACTACAGTGATTTATCAGTTTTGGCCACAGATTTGAGTATCTGTTTCATTGATAATTTTTAAAAGGATTTTGTCGTAGGTGATATGCATTCTATAAAATAGCAGTAGGGCTCATAATTTCCACTAGGAAGGGTTGTCATGATTTTGATAAATAATCATAATTATGTATGAATGTATTTATATTGAATATGCGATGCGCGGGACATAAATCGACGGAGGTAAATTCGTCTGGATCCTACTCTACAACTGAACACAATACTCGATTATGAATTACAGACTCTGAGATGTAAAATAAAAATAGTTTCTCTTATAGTACTTAAAGGTACCCTGAAAATATCGATTAACAAACCTGGCCAACATCAATTTCAGGATTTATGCTGCGACCGACATCTTCTATCAAATCCACTCTTATTATATTCCACTCTCCTGTCAAAACATCTATTTCCACCTCCGCGAGCGTTACACCATATATTTTATACTCCCGTTTGTCTACCATCCCTGTCGTACAATGAGATGTCAAATCTACTTCAGCTTGAGCGGCAGCTTTGATAATTTCCTCCCACGTCGCATCAGCCATTTTGTTTCTTATTGGTTCTAGGTTTTTATTTATTTCTCGGCAACATTTGACTACACCTATGCAAACAAATTCAGACGCCAAGCTGCCCCCTGATATAAAGCAATTCGGTGTTATAGTAGTATCATTGGGTTTGATTTGTACTTTTTCAACGGGTATATTGAGATAAAATGCACAAACTTGTGCTGCTTTAGTGTTTATTCCTTGACCCATTTCTACACCACCATGAGTCACCACTACGGATCCATCATCTACGTACACGGTAACAGTTACATTCAGGTATATAGAGCCAATCGGCTCCCACCTCAAAAATGAATGTCTTAGCCCTCTCTTCTTCCATCTATTTTCACGGTTATACTTATTAACATCTGTTCTACGTTCTTTATACTGAGAATTGTTTTGAAGCGTGTTAACTAGTTCTAATATTTCACCATGCGTCACCTTATCTACGTTTGCAAGGCGCACATTTAGAGGGTCTAAATTCATTTCATATGCAATTCTTTCGAAAATCCACTCGGCCATAGATACTGCTTCCAAAGTACCTACGGGTTGATTTCATATAATATTATAAATATATAGCAGCATGTTATAATAATAAACGCCTAGATACATATAAGTCACTATCCAGTTAATTATTTGACATAAAATGTATATTTACAAACCTGGCGCCCTGCACCATGTGTTGGAGGGCGTGTCAGTGATGGCGTCATACAATTTCATGTCCCAAGACTCCTTGTCGTAGCAGTTGTTGAGGAGTTCAAAACCGAGCATCGACAAAGTCTCATTAATTATGTAGCCATTGTCTTCAAACAGTTGGTACTGGTTGTGCTGTATTACACCTTCACTATTGACCGCAATCTGAAACAATAGTTCTATTTAAAATGTATTTTTGCAGCATCAACCTGGAATTTTTATTACCTCAGTGAAGGATACACAGAAGTAATGGAAGAAAATTATAAAAATATTACCTCAAAATCTATCGAAGCAGGCATTCTCTTTCCGACATGTCTCATATTGTTTCGCAGTGATTGAATTAATCTACAGGGTCTGTTTAGTTTGCACGTCACAAGTGCACATGCTACTGCGACTTGTATCGCCCTCGATATCTTTATACCGTAAGCCCCTCCTATACGTCGTAAATATACATCTATCCTGAAATTTTTACAACCACTAAATGACCCAATAATAACGAACGGAACTTCGAAAACAAGAATAAGTTTTTTTATAAATTGCCTATGATTCATTCTTAAATCATTTCAAACCACTGGAGGAATTTTTAATTAATTATAAACAATACGTACTGGTTTTGTTTCATGTTCAATGCTCTTTCAACCATGCGCTGCACCCCGTCAATCCACTGCGACGTTGAATATAACTTGATTCCTTCCTCTATGGGATGTGACACACAGGTTAAAGTCTCCATGCAAAAGTGATATTGCCAATATATTGACATGTCACCTTTTATGACCTTAGCTATATCGTTTCCTATTTTAGTAGCTTTTGATGATTTATATAGTTTAATTCTATTTGGGTCTCTTTTAGCTAATTTTATATCCAGCACAGGCGCTCTTACATTTGAGTAAGTTACTTTAACCAATAACGATGCTTTGTTTGCTATATTCTGTGTTTTAGCTACGATTATCGCAAGCGCTTGGTTGAAATATTTTATTTCTTTTTCACAAAGAAGTTCTTCGTCTGCTGTATAGAAGAGAGTATTAGCTGGTGTAAAACTATTTTTGCCTGGTATGTCTGCTGCAGTATAAAATGCGATAACACCGGGTTCTTTCTGTAATATGATAAAGTTCACGGCTACAGTTGTGCTGAAATGTTCGTAGGCTAACACACAAAAATTTATTAAATTTTGTTGTCTTCGAGACAGGTCGATTATAGCGGTATAATATATATACTATTTTTCGATACTATTTTTATTGGACGATCTGTAACCTCAAAATAGGCTTCAGTTTCGGCGATTACCTCTTCATCAGCGCCAAAGTTCCAGCCATAATTCTTGTCATTCCTATCAAGCGAGCGAGAAAAAGTAGCTGGGAGCGAATTCTGGATAATACGGTGGAACAAATTTGGATTTATTACGATTAAACAGCTTCAAACACTGCTGATCAATTCGTTGTTGTTTTTGGTCGATTGGTACCCACTTGAGGTGAGCGAGGTGAGCTCGTGCGGTACCCACTTTGAACAGAGCTTTCTAATATCCTAATATTCATCTAGAATAAGTCCTTTGATATCTTTAGGGTCTCAGCTACGAGTATCTAAATCAACTTCACTTTTTGGTTATCAAAAATTATTTTGTAAACTTATTTTATCTTTTCTTCGATAACAGCCTCTTTGTGGGATCCACTGCTCACATCGGACGATCAGCGCTCGTTTCACCTCATTTAAACTTAGCAAACCACTTCTCAACAGTTAATTTACCTTGTTCAGCGTCTGAATAATGCCAAACCAAGCCTTGGCTTCAATAGTATATTTTTTCGCCAAAACAATTAAATAAATAAAAGTCCCTTCACTCATAATACTATATCTCACAAATTTATTAGTTTCGTACTAGTGTACGACAGTTGAGAAATTAATACACGTGTCGTTTAAAGGTTAGGTAAGGTTAGTTTTTGAACTAAAAATCATATTAATTTAATACTGGTAGCGCCATCTATGTGTCAACCTACGCACTTTTTAGCCCACCGATTAGTCAAAGCTCTTTTTTGAATAATACAATCACATTAACGAAGAACGATTAACATTTACCAGGATTTTTTTTTTCAATAACTAAAACATAAATAATATATTACTTTTACGAACCATTGCTTCAGAGGCGTCAATATGTTCAATAGTGCCAAGAGCGACAGTGGAAAGCACAAACGAAGCGAACACTTCTTGAGGCAGAGACGGAACGTCTTCAGAGTAGGAGGCTTCACCGGCGCATTGGATCTAAGTTAAATTCAAGTAATTAGATAAAACATCAATATTTATAATTATAATAATTGGTTGAGACTGCACCTTTTCAACGAAAAAAAAACAGTGAAATATTTTTAGCAGAAAATTAAAAATATATGTTGATTCGTCGTTTATTGCTAATAAATTAAATTGATCACAAAAATTGATAATTTATAAAAAAAACAAATAATTACCAGCCCATCAAACTTTGGTGAGGGCTTATTAAGTGGCCATATAGAAGGATCACTCTCAAACACCTGCGTTCCCTTGGATAGTGACCTCTCGTCTCGAATTTTTATCCTGCCTGATCTATATCGGGGAGCTAAAATGTCTTGAGGACATAGGGAAAGGAGACCCTAAAATGAATATATAATGTAATATTTCTTATTCTAAGGTTGAATACGTACTTGCCTAACAAAACAAGCATTGTGTTTTTCTCTTTTTACATCATCATATTTAACAATTTAATGGTTTATACTTTCTTGACATTATTTTTACTACACTAATCACGTTATCTTAACTTTGTACACACATTTCTAACATCTACTAACTATACAGAATGGAGAAGTAGTAGTAACCTTATAAAATAATCCCAATGCAAGTTTTCGCCTATATTCAAGCGGCATGTCAGGTGGGTCCTCTTCGCCTACCATTTCCTGACTCAGAACACGAAGAGCAGACTGCAAAGTGTCATTGTCGAACAACTTCCGTCCTTTTAGGTTATTTTCTGTATCATAAGCTCTATTAAATTGTACAGAAAGTCCTCCATAAGCTATCCGACAAGTGAGCACTCTATTTTGATGGGTCAATTCGTAAAGGTAGCCGGCGTGGACTATTGCGTGAGCGTTCTGCGATCGGGGCATGACCTGAAACGTGCACTTTGAATGATAGCTGTATATAAAACTGTCTTAGTAAAAGATATAACATATTTTCTATTACGAAGGCTATTCGATTTTACGTATTAACTGTGCTAAGGCCTCTGGAATAGTTTGACTACCACTTTGCCGTACCTTAAACGTCACGACCTTTACGAGTTCATCATTAAGTGGAGGTAGGAAAATATTGAACAATACTTTTCCGTTCATATCAACGCTTAAAAATTCCTTCATTCTCCTCCTGACTACGTCGCCGGGTTTTTGTACTGAAAAAAAACCGAATACGAGCATAGAACGCAAAATTATTTGGTATTAAGACAAAAAAGCCATTTTGGCATTTGTTCGGTGTCTTTTTACTTACGAATACCAACTGAAGCACCAATTGTATTTAATAACAGGAAAATATCAGAGTTGAATTCATTATGTCGGTTTTTGATCATTAAATTGCCTGCTATTGTTCCAATCTGTAACATAATTATAATCAAGTTAAAGGGAAATATTTTTATGTATATTATATTCATATGAAAATAATATGATTTTTAAAGTAACGTTTTATATACATAATATTACTCCTGCCCACGCTTGCATGATGTTAACAAATATGATAATTGCGAGCATTTAAACAGTAACAGTTCCAGTACTTCGTGCTGTTTGTAAGGCTTTACTCACGTTTTTGACGGGTATATGCGCGATAAGCTTGAGATGCTCTCGCAGCACCGTAAGGTAGCGAAAGTCCTCGTGCTGAGACATTTTCAGGAAGATTTCATCGAGCTCCGTAAGCGTGTTTCCAGCTCCCACGACTAAGTTCTGCTGCAAGTAGTACCCTTTTAGTTCTGCGACGCTTGATATGTCTATCAGCACTCGGGGGTACTCCAGTATTGGATAAACGCCTGTCAAATTGTGTTAGGACAATATATTACTACGTTTTGGTTGCCCAATTTACATTATTAAGTCTATTACTCATATTAGAATTTATAATGTATTAGGAATTGGGAATTGTATTTTAGTTTAGTAGTACATATTGAAAGACCTTTTTAAAATTAAAGCGTTCATTACCTTTAGCCGTATTCCCGCCTATAAGCATATACGTTTGTGATGGATGCAATGTGAAAATTTTAAAAATATCTCCTGTATCTTCTACTTTGTACCAATCTCGGTTATCGCTGAGTTTGATATGTAATAAAGTGGGATGTTTCACGTCTTCCTTGTTGACTACACACCAATCATAATCTTCGCATGTTTGGGAACAAGCTTCCCCTGTTTTGCTGCATATACTAAGGTCCTCAATGTCTGCAATGAGGCAAGGGTCCGGGGAGTCGGAAGCAAACTTTTTGAACGCTTCCAAAATGGGCCGGTATCCAGTACATCTACATATATTACTGGCCAGTGACTTTTCTATTTCGAGCATCGTCATCTTCTTATTTTTCTTAATCAGGCTGAAAACGATTAAGAGATTATACAAATCCTATAAGATGAACAATGAATGCTTAGCACGACAAGTAACGAGATTGTAAAACAGAAAATAATAAATATATTGTATGTGGTTAACTTTGAACTGAATGACGATGAGACAGCGGACAGTGGCAGAGCTTGTTACGCTGTTCTAAAAGATATAATATACTGTTACGAGCTAGGGGATCGGATAGAAACGCCGTAGATTTCTTCAAGGGTTTATTTTGAATTAAATCTACGAGGAATTTGTTAACACTAAAAATTGGAAATTATGCACTAAAATTCACTGAATACACACACAAAATACTGTCACTAATTACACGCACTTCACACAGTACTTGTATTCACTTGTCTTCACTATATTCGCACTTTGTCACTCCGGTGTTTATCGCTTGGTATCGCATTCAAAACTGAACTAATCGGTCGCGTTTCGGCTCGCTTATATATCCCTGGGAGCGATGTTCGAGAACTCTCTAGGCGGCAGCGCAACTGAGTAGCGATCGCACAATTCTAGAACGTGCGTACTAGCTATCCCTTTCGCACATTGCTCCGTCCTTGTCGTACGGCGTTCTAGAGTGCTCGGTCTAGCTTCGAGAAGGTTCCGATCTTCCCTCTCTCTCGCGTATCATTCCGTCCTTGTCCCACACCTAGAAAATTCGTTCTAGAACATTCCTTCATCAAAGGGGTATAACCAGGCCTGAAAACGCCTGAAAACGGGTTTCCTGAAAAGTGTACCATTCGACTACACGTGTTCTGAAACGGCCTGAAAAAATGTTTCAGGTTCCTGAAAACTAGGGTGACATTATGTAAATTACGATTTTCTAATATGTGATTGACCCTCTCCTGAAACGGTCAGAAATCACATTTCAGCCTGCTGAAAAGTTCTCTAAGTAGTGAAAAAATCTAGAAACATTGTAGTCGACCCGTCTTCGTAACAATACTATTGTAGTATGCAAATATTTCTCTAATTTTTCATCACCAAAAGTAAATGTGCCCGATTGCTATCGAAACGAATCAACCCGTCAATCTTTGCATACAATAATATATCACCTTTTCTGTTAATTTGACTTATTCGAGCAAAAGACTACAATGGTAGGGGAGCCCAAGAGGGGATTTCGGGATTTACTAAAGCGCGGCAGATTACTATATAGGGGGATACCTTGTACCCGGTTAAGTACCTCCACAAAATATGAGGCCCATATATAAGGCCGCGCGTGAAGGAGACAGGATCAGATTAGTAAAAAAAAATTGACCATCAGAAATTCCCGAGCGCGTCAGATTAAGGTAGGGTGAGTTAATTACATCCTAAAAAGTGTATATTCCACTAATCTGACAATTTGAGAGTGACGGAAAAAAAGGGGAGGGCAACAAAGTTGTAAAAAAAAACGTCATCTCGACATTCTCGAGCGTAGCTAATTTTTCTTTTATTTTGAAGGAAATAATTCCAGAATAATGAAAAATATATAATCTGACGATTTCCGCAAGCCGAAATAACAAAAATTCGTCGATAAAGTTAAATGCGTGCAGCTGCGTGATGCCTACATTTCCTTAAACCGATCGGAATCTACTAAACGGCGTTCAAAATATTTCCCTCAAAATTACATTTCCTGTGAATTTGAACCGATTCGGACCGATAGATTTTGAGAAATTTTGAAAAATCTTAAAAAAATAAGAAATATTTTTTTTTAAGTGGTTTCTTTATCGATCAACTTCAAAAACTAATCCGCCTTTGAGCTTGAAAAACCACGTCGATCGCCACCAAGCTGGTCAAAAGCGGTTGATTCGTTCGAGAGATATCGTACATGAAAGAAACCCGAAAAAGTGTTTTTCGGGATTACTCCGAAATTTGTGGTTCGATCAATTAAAATTGCAAAATTACTTATGAGAATGATAAAACTGCGTCGAATGCCGCCAACCGCGTGAAAATTGCTTGATCCATTCAAAAGTTATTGCGGTTTGAAAATTCCAAAAATAGTGTTCTATGAAACTTCTATCAGACTTTCGAGCTGGGAGAGCTCAAATGCATAGAAATGTTATTTCTTTGAACTCAGCGAGCTCAAAATATCAATTTTAAGCGCCCAGGAATGGAATTAGCGGGAAGTTGCAGGGATGGCCCTTTAGGTGAACCGTTTTTCTATTTTTTTTTGTCAGATCAGGCGAATCCCTCTAGATAATCGTCAGATTATGAGACAGTACGTTTAGAACATAAAGATGAACCACATATATCTTAATCTGACGCGCTTGAGTATTTCAAAATTGCGATTTTTTTTGCAAATTAAGAAAATGGCTGTGGGTTTGCGTCCCATCGAAATCGTCAGATTAGTGAATGAGAGATTTTTTTTGGTGCACTTAACACTCCCTTAGAAAATCTGACGCGCTCGATAAATTTTTTTTTTTTTAATTTTCAACCCTTAAATACAACCACCCGCATCATGCAAACGATCAGATTAACATACGTACATTATTAAAAATACGTAGGGCATAGATGCTATCAATATCTGACGCGCTCGAGGATGTCCATGCAACAGTTTTTTTTACATATTTAACTATCTATAGCCGCTTCCCCCACCGATGAAAAGGAATTTATCATATAACATTTTTTTCTTCTTTTTATCTAAGCTTTGTATCCCAATAGGTCTCTACGACGCTCGAGTAAATCCCCATTTAGCATCGTGGGCTCCCCTACCACAAAGAGAAAGGGTATTAAACAATCCTTTGGAAAATAATTCACCATAATTCACGCATATCGGTTGAAATAATTGATGTTGCCTAGATAATAATAAGTGGTACATATATCAGATTTCTAATACTGGATTTCTAAATTAAATTGATTGCTCTTTTCGTAACTAACACCGGATATTTGGATATTACAATACCTTACTTCATACATATTTATGAAAAAAAAAATACAATCGTAGTAAAACAAGAAATTTATTTAACTTAGTACTAACTATTTAAATTTTAAAATTAAAATTTGAATTAATATGTTCGAACGATGATTTACCTGTACATGGCCATGACCCAGCCAGGGCTGCAGTAGCCGCACTGGGAACCATTATTTTCGTAAAGGCACCTCTGCAGTGGATGGTAACCCTGCAGCTTGTTGCCCACCTTTTCTATGGTTGTGATCTCCCAGCCGTGACATGACGTTATCAGCACCATACACTGTATACAAATCATACACAAATTTAATTAAAGTTTTTTGAAATGGATCCAATTTTGTTAATAAGGCTGGTCACAGGCGCTACCTGTCTCGGCCAATTAAAGCCATCGTCTTACTAGTTTTTGCTCCCATAAGAAACATTATTCTTATTACTTCGAGTAACGTGCTCTAAAGGGAAATTAATATAATATTATTTACTTTGCTTTGATCAGTGAGGATTCTCACTAAATATAGCCCAATCTAAAAAACACGCAATTATTAAAAGTCTCAAATAAGAAAACGTAAACTCCAATAGCTTACTTGTATTACACGCACAAAACTAACTAAGCAAAATAGTAGTATCAACTACCTTCAAATATAAGAATTGTTAAAAATTAAGTATGTCCCTTCAGTGAGTCATTACTAAGGACTGTTTACAATAATACTAGCTAGAGCCTCTATTAAGGGGAAGATACTCTGTTCTTGTGTTCTATTTTTTTCACTTACTATTTGGCAAGTAGCAAAAAGTAGTAGTAGTAGTTAGTTATGTACACGAACTCATATTCACTAATTCAACTTGTATTTTTTTTCTTTTAAATTTTCTCACTAGACCCGTGGTGTCAAAAAGTTGAATAGTCTCAAGATTCAATTCATGATGGAGCCTTCGTTTGTGAATTCTAGCTGTCTATGTAATTGTACTGGCGACTGCCTATACCTTAAGGTCCCGATGGAGGTGATCTTTACGATGTACGAGGCAGCAGTAACAATTCCCTGGTCTTGTTTATAGAGTAATAAGGTATTTTGCACAGATAATGTCGAAGCCTTCCCAGCACTATTTGCTGAAAAGAAAATCCAACTCGCTGCGTTTTTTTCTAGTATGGACCTTGAGACCATGGTTTGGGATCCAGCGTCATACCTTACCTGAATTTGAATGGTACTATGATGTCATCAATATTCACAGAGGGTGATATCAAGGTTGTAGCGATTAAATTTGTAATACATACCGCATTGACGCCTTCCACAGGTCCACCGGGGTTTTTGACGACGCTCACGATGCAGGCGCCGCAACCGGCCTCCAGACACATGTACTTGGTGCCGCGAAGTTCCAGCCATCTCCTGAGATACTCTAGCAATGTCACATCGGCACTCAACTCGCTGCCGACTAAAATTAAATGATCAAGTTATTATAACCGTATTTATAAAACTGGTAGACCTGGCTAGCCGTATTAAAAACTATCAAAAATCTTAATACCATCCTTTTAATTAACACGTATACAAGTTTCGATAAGACTTATAAAGCCTAAGACTTTGATAATTGAATTGGCATTTAATCGTATCTACCCTCGTATTATATACAATTATTGAAGTTCTGAAAGTCGTATGTTTTACTGTCCAACTAAGTGCAAAATAAATTATTCAATAGAGCAATTGCCTAATCGTTTTCACATCGATTTATTTTGATGAAAATGGCAAGAAAAAATATAGATGTTAAATTCTATATTATATATGAAACGTATAAAATATGTTTTAAAGCATAAATTTTTACTATTGAGTTTTAATGGATACAAATGAAAGAAATAAAGTGTGTAGATTAGTGTAGTTTGATATTCAATATTGATATAATACAAAAGATTTTGTTTTAAAATTTGATTTTAAATTAAAATGAATGCTAAGTACTTAGTTTAGTTTAGTTTAGTTTAGTAATTAGTTTCTAGATTACTTCACGGATCGTTAAATAATAATGATAATTTTATACGACATTTAACTGCTATGAAGATTCCATTTGTTATCAAATGCGATTAACTGCCGTTAAAATTGAGGATTGATGTAGGTAATATTATATTATAAAAACTCCTATCTTATATTACTTAGAAATTCTAATAATAACTAAGTACAGTTAAATTCTGTACCTCAAGGGTCTGTACTGGGTCCTTTGTTTATCGCTTATCTATATGATATAAAATATTGATTCAAGTATTCAGAATATATTATGTTTGCAGATGACAAAAAATATTTCTAAAATTATGGATAACTGCGTTCAACTTCAACAGATCTTAATAGATTGGAAACTTACTACAAAAAAAAATCCTTAATTATTGGAAATGTAGTAAAATTACTTTTACTCGCAAACTTAAATAAACAAAAATATAATGTTGTTATTAAATAAGAGATACAACAATTGAACAGGTGAATTTAGTTAGAGACTATAAGGGATACTACTATATGATAATAGATGGTTCTCAGGATATATTATAGATAACAAAACAGAAAAAGCATAATATAAACAACTAGACTTCGTCAAACGTGTATGCAAATCTTTTAAGAATATAAATTGCATAAAATGCCTGTACTTTGCTTTTGTTAGGAGCACACTAGAATATGCTTGCGCTGTTTGGTCCCAAATGTACAAGAAATACATTGAAGTAACAGATAACATTCAAAAAAAAGTTTCTAAAATGATTAAGTTTTAAAGATTTCCGAAAGTATAGTTGCTATATAGATTCCTGCTACTTTGGTATTGAATCCCTAGAATGTAGACGTAAACAATACGACCTGATGTTTTACACGCAATTTGCAACGGTTTAATAGACTGTCCTGACTTATTATGTGTATTGGTTTTAATATGTGACACCTCCTCTTCATACAAATAATGTTGAAATGTTTATCGGTCTAATAAAAACTATTTGCGTTACTTCGTCATGTATATTATCACTCATGTGTATATCACTAAAAAAATATATTAAATACATTATAATGATCAATGCATCATACAATATATTATATCTTAAATATAAAAGGTAATAATGTTAACAGTGTTTTATGCTTATGTTTGAATGAGTTTTCCGTTTTCGGGATCTTGTATATAATGTAATTGTTTAGATATTGTATAATAAGTAGCTGTAGGAATACTGATAAGCAAATAAATAAATAAAATATTCTATATATTATGTAATGTTCATATATACGTACCGGTATGTTCAACACTATTTACTTTAAAATGGATTCTGTCCATGGCCTTCACCTGCCGTAGCTGAACTAACTATATTATTAAGTTTAATTAAAACCGTAAATGGTAACATGTTACCTAGAGTATATTTGTTCAAGTGTATGTTACCGCTTAACATGAACATTATGTATTATTTAAACAGACTATTGATTGTTAGTTACTGACGTGAAACGTCAATATACGAGAATTATTAGAAATAAATGAATATTATTATTTGACATATTTGATATAGCGATAACTAAAAGTATTATTAGTAATAAGAACATTTTAACAAATAAGCCTTTTTTGTATGTTACAAGAGGCAAACGGGCAGGAGGCTCATCTGATGTTAAGTGATACCGCGGCCTATGGACACTCTGAATGCCAGAGGGTTCGCAAGTGCGTTACCGGCCTTTTAAGGCTTGGTACGCTCTTTTCTTGAAGGACCCTAAGTCGAATTGGTTCGGAAATATTTCAGTAGGCAGCTGGTTTCACATAGTGGTGGTGCGCGGCAAAAACTGCCTTCGAAAACGCTCAGTTGTGGGACAACGGACGTCGAGTTGATACGGGTGGAATTTCGTATTCATTCCTCGACGTCCTATGATGAAAGGTATTAGTCCGAACAACTCCTCTGAACATGCTTCATGGTAAATGCGGTAGAAGATGCAGAGAGATCCCACATCTCTACGCAACGCCAAGGGATCAGCCGCTCGGAAAGTGACTGGTCGTCGACGCTACAACGGTTTTCGTTGAATGCGGTCAAGCGGAAGGTGCTCCCGCCCAGAGGTGAGAACAGTACTCCATGTGGGGCCGAATTTGCGCTATAAAAGTTGCAGTTGCATAATTTCTGAGCCCATAGGCCGGAAGCTTCGAGAGCAGTGTTCTGTGCCACACCCGATCGAAGGTTTTTGCTATATCCTAAACTTACTGCCAGCACCTCCCTCTTAGACTCAATTGCCTCCTACCTGCATACCTATGTGTAAGGCATACAAGGAGATCACCAACTCTGCGACCACGGCAAAAGCCGTACTGATAATCGCTACTCAGCTGGTGGCCCTCTAGATACTTCAGGAGCTGGCAGTTAATAATGCTTTCCATTTCCACAATTCCAATATGTCAAAGTCAATAATTTGTCAATAGTAATTTGGATCGATCGCTGAGTTCAGAATTCAGTTGCTCTCTGATCGGCGCCTGCGCCGGACATGCGCACTGACCTTATTTAAAAAAAATCTAAATGTCGGACATCAATAGTGATAACTATCTGGCTAATATAAATCGCTTCGAATCTTAACATACAAATTTTTAAAATATAAATTTACATTTATATAAAACCAATTATGTTCTTTTCCAAATGAAATGTATTTTAATTATATTATTTGCATACCAAAAGGGTACCAGAAGGTTAAATTAACTTACATCGAACCAATTATACATAACGACTTAAGTTTTGCTTATATTTATAATTTCAGATATATGTTTAGAACATAATTTTGTACGATACAACCATCACCCATTTAAACAGCAGTCAAGACAGAAATCACGACTTAAATTTTACCCAAATCGCAAAATGATAATTAACATTGTAGTATTTAAAAGAAACTGGTGCGGCGCTATCTTTCATAGATTTTTGCCACAAAAACATAAATGTATATTGGCAATACTTTAAATAATTGAGAATAACAATTTGTATGGGTTCTATAGCATTATAATCAATCTGAAATGGTTTTATTTTGTCCAATAGGCTATTGATAATATGAAATAAAAAGTTTGGTTTGAAACAATACCTTTCATTAAGCTACAGATATAATTACCTACGTACTTCTACTATATAGAAATACAAACCGTGAAATTACCCGAAACTAGAGCCCTAATTGTATCGACAATAATTAAAATGCAAATAGCACATTTCTATAGAAAAATATTCTTTCAACCATTATCGCGATTTATTTAAGCGATACGTCTTAAGAAAATTAATAAGTTGCCTTTGTGTATTTATCCACAGAGTTACAACTGAGCAAAACGAAATGTATGACGAATTGAACAATGAATAAATAATGAGCAAAAAAATAAAAAAATATTCAATAAAAAACCAGTAGCGTGACTCAGTTATCTGTAACTGTTTCGTGTTTTTTTTTTATTTATAGGCAAATAAGTGACCATCTATGCTTGACACATACCGTCGATTTTAGTGTTTATCTTAAGACCTACTGCTAATTGGGCACTAGAGAAATGGTGGAAAACCTTGGATTGAACACACAATCTTAGTATTGAGAGAAAATAGTCTTGCAAATAACAACCGATTAGCATCGGTCGTGATGCCGACCAATGCCGGCAGTTACGTTAGATGGCGCTATGACACATTGCTCGATACAGCAATTTCTTGAAGTGATTAGTAATTAGTTAGGTGAGGTCACTGCTGACAAAATTATTATTTTATATTTATTTTATCTTTTGCGTCCACTATCAAAAATCTGGGAATAATCTTGATCAGACCTGCACTGTCCATATACGGGACGCTGCGATTGATTTCTGATGGATAATTGCTTTTTAACCAAAACTCCTATATATTTATAGGATAACTTCCATTTTCTTAGCTCCAAAAACCTACTCTTTACTCCTCTAACAGGTCACTTCTATTCCCTTCGCAAATATCACTTTTTACAATTCCTCCTTCACTATTACTGCCATTCGGTTGTGGTGGACTGGGTTGTTTAAACCCATTTTCAAGCTATGTTTTGTGATATAAATAAAGCCTTGTTATTATTATAATATAATTGGGAAATTACATTTATTACATTCACTCGCGTTTATCATTCAAGGTTCGAGTGGTTGTTACAAAAATGTTTTAGCCGCACCACTAATTAAATTATTTAAATTAAATTTGTTTAGTCTTCCACTAGTGCACTGTTAATCAAGACATGGATAAAGTTAAATTTAAAGTTAACGACATGAAATGTGATAGTAAGTTGTGAATTACCATTAAAATTAATTTTACATTTTAAATTTTAATGTCTAGATTTAGATTTTATATTAAGTCGTGCTTCATAGAATCTGAATGAGCTATAAATTCCGGAAAATGTTGTTATGCAACAATTTTATTTCACAATATTATAATTGTATGTACTTTGAAAGCAAGAAGGACTTTGCTACGGCTGATTGGTGGTCCAGAGAACAGAACTGCAACATACGTAGGTTAAAAGTATATCTGGTATCAGCTACTTCCACTTGACCGTATTCAACGAAGAGCGGTTCGAATCGTCGACGACCAGTCACTTTCCGTGCGGCTTGATCCCTTGGCGTTGCGTAGAGATGTGGGGTCTCTCTGCATCTTCTACCGCATTTACCATGGAGAGTGTTCAGAGGAGTTTTTCGGTCTAATACCTGCAGCTGAGTTTCATCATCGGACGTCAAGGCAAAATACAAAATACCATCCGTATCACCTCGACGTCCGTCGTTCCACAACTGAGCGTTTTCTAAGGCAGTTTTTGCCGCGACTTAGGGTCCTTCAAGAAAAGAGCGTACCAATTCTTGAAAGGCCGGCAACGCACTTGCGAGCCTTCTGGCATTGTGAGTGTCCATGGGCGGCGGTGTCACTTAACATCAAGTGAGCCTCCTGCCCGTTTGCCGCCTATTACATTAAAAAAAAAATATCTAATGGACCGGCCATTGTCTTTTTTAATGTTATCTATAGATATGATCGATATAGGAATATGTAAAATTTATTACATACTACTTTCAAAACGATTGTAAATTAGCGTAAACGTATGACATAGGAGATGTAAGATACTTGGTTAATTAATTTTTTTTTGCTTAACAAAAATTGCTAGTGTTTTATTATATTTTTATTTTTTGTAACATTGTTTTACCAAAATTGTCATATATTTTAGATAAAATAGCATATAGTATGATGTGGTAAACTTCAATAAATAAACTTCAAATTCGTAGATTGCTTAAACATACATAAGATATATTATTGTCAATTTAAAAGTAATCTGCAAAATCCTGGCAATTATCGCTTTGCCAGGATTTTGCAGATATAGAAATAGACATGTGGAGATCATCCATATTTTAAGAAATAAAATTTTATATTGTATTTAAATGAGGCTCTAAAACCAACTGCTCTTGCACACCGATGTCGTCTAGCCCGTATTCTAAAACAGGAATCAAAAAAGATTGAAACCAGGCACTTCACTTAGAAATTTGTTCAAGGAAATCGATATTTTGACGGTACCTTCCCAATATATCTACAACAGTATCATTTTTGTTCGTAGTAATATCAGTTCTCTTTTAAAGAACAGTGACATTCACAATAGGAATACAAGAAATAAGGGAAAATTTTTCCAGCCATCTTACAGGTTGCAGAAAATAAATAATTTATGGCCCTAAGTATACGCTGCTATAACATGATTCCTAGTGAAATATTTAATAAATTTAATAATTAATAAACAGATTCACAGCACAGTCGCAGCTATAAAATTTGTCTATTAACTCAACAAAAATCCCACGAAATCTAGTTTTTAATCCGCCCAAAAGAATTTATCTAATTCTTAACAATTATTCGTATTTTTAACTTTAAATTTTATTTTATTTACTTCTCACCAGACTATTTACTTCATACAAGACTTCATTACTTACACTGCTAACATTTACTAATATTATAATTATTATTTTCTACTAAGTATTAATACATTCTTTTTTTTGCGACTGAGGCGCAAACTAGCTTATGTGGTCTCTGGCAGAATGACCAGCGCTGTGGAACATTCTGCTCCTCAGCATAATGCTGAGTCAGGGTCAATGAACGAGCCGAATGGGAAAAGGAAAAAAATTGTATATATCTCTCATAATATCTTTTTATTTAATTTTTTCTCTTTGATTATTGTTATTTTGTGTGTTTATGTGTGTGTTTTTGTTTGTAATAAATGATATGTCTATGTTTATGTCTCTATGTCTAATTTATCCATACAATTTAAAAAAATGGTAATGTCCACCTGCATTCTTCCCACTCTTACGTATGAACATCAAACGTGGACCTATAATTCAAGAACCAAATCAACAAATCAATGAAGAACTAGCAACATGCCAAAATCCGATGGAAATATAATTAAGTTAAAAAAATCTGTTTATTCATTAAACACAATTCATTATAACAACAGGCAATTAATTTGAAGAAGGTGCATAAAGTCAGAAGCGAGCATATAAAGCAGAAAACAAAAATATTCGGTGCACTCGTAAAATGGTCAAAGTGCAAAGGTGCAATGGTCTTGGGCAGGACACTTATTCAGAAAATAGGACGAAATGGCCTAGCAGCGATAAACGGCAAATGGATGGACTAAAAAAATGCTGGTCTGATGATATCATAGCTGCAGCGAGAATGCAATGGATGGAGTCGAAAAACAAAGATGAATGGCATAAGCTGGGGAAGGCCTATACCCAAAATGGGGGTCCGACCTTTCACTAAAGACCCAACCAGACACTAAATTTTATATAATGTACATTCTAAATTATATTTTACATATTAACAAATATTTATTGTGTTGTAAATGTTTTATTTTTATACCGAGATTGTGCAAAAAAGTACCTCGGCTTTATTTAGATAATATACTAAATTGGAAACCGCACATCATTACTGTGTGACAAAATAAGAGCAATTTTTACAAAATTTTAAATATTATAACACAACTTTTAAACCACTACTCCTATAGTGTTATATAGTTACGCTAACTTTAACGCTTTATGCTTTGTCGGAATCCATAATATTCCGTTCTGGAAGTACAACTGAGGATTTCAAAAAAAAAATCTGATTAACCTGAGATATACTTCAGAATACAAAGAATGCAAGGCAAGGTATTTTATAGGTATAAGGTGTTGTATGAAATTATATTCATACACGAAAAAAATCAATTTAATAATAACTTTCAGCTTCCAATATATAAAGATATATTCTGAAAAATAAATAATTCCTTACATGAAAAACTGACTAACAAAACTATATAAAAGTATTTATATGTTTCTTATTTTGTTTCCTACCTACTTCTACAAACATAAAGTCAACTTTCAAAGGCACCTTGTACTTATCAGTTTAAGACTGTATTAATTCTAGCAGTTAACTTTGTCTAAAAACTTATATCATTATTACTGTAATAAATGTCGACGCTTCGATGGACGGAGAATTATGACCATTGGTGTTCGTCCGTCACTTAAATTTTTGTATTCCTTTGTTAATAAATAAATAATTAGCGTACTATGCCTATCAGTTGGTTCAGAAGCGAGCTCCACTACTACGCTTCTGAGTTACATTCGGCAGACTCTAGAATTACGAGGAACCAAGTACATGTGCCTGGAAGGAGGTTGTGGCGCCTGCATTGTCAGTGTGAAGACACCTGAGGGACACATACTATCTGTCAACTCCGTAAGTCGTTCTTTATTTATAATAATTTGGCAAGAAATACATCTTTACTGTCTGACCCATTATATTGATATGTTTCTTAATCATAGAAAGATATTACTAGCCGTTTAGGTATAGACCACATTCTTAATTTTATCTATAAATTATTTTTCAATTAAAATTTGGTTGTCTGTAAATTCGGTTTACGTGATAACGTCATAAGGAAACATTGATAAAAAATTGAATACTTTTATAAATTGAATTGAATTATTATCACTAAATTATCATTAGTTAGTATAATACAAAGAAGGAGGTTATTGAAAATTATAATTTTTTCCAAACTATATATTTTCTTTAATTTTTCACTTCACTTTACAAACAGTTGACAAAATAGTTCTCATATAGGTTGTACGCTGCCGCTGTCTCTCGGACTCGGACGCATCCGTCAATAAATTGAAAGAGAAATGCGTCACAAGCCAAACGTTTAGGCCGTTCGTGCCTGTCGCTTGTTCCGCGTTCTGGCTTGCACGCTCGGCTCAGGCGGAACGTTAACACTTAACATGCGTCATGATTTTTTGTGTGTGCAGCCAGCGTTTAGCGATGTATCAGACGTTATCACGTCAATATATTTTTGGCATGATTTAAATATGATGTATATTTATCATGTTTTCAGTGTTTGGTTTCTGTGATGTCATGTCACAATTGGGAAATTACAACAATTGAAGGTGTTGGAAACCGAGGCAAAGGTTATAATATCATACAGAAAACTCTTGCCAAAAAGGATGGCACCCAATGTGGTTATTGCACCCCGGGCTGGGTCATGGCTTTGTATAGGTAATATATTTTAAAAGTGTTTATTGCGGTGGTATACTATAATCTTTTAAAATAAATCAATGAAATTGAACGGATTAAACTAAAATATGTATCACAAAATTATGTATAATTTAATTTTTAAGCAATTGGAAATATTTCTTTAAGATTAAGGATAGATCGGCGTTCCCTTGTACATATATGAATATTATCTGTAGTTTTTATTTTCTATTTTAGCCTTCTAAAAAACAAAAAGCTGAATATGCTTCAAATCGAAAAATCTTTAGCGAGCAATAATTGCCGTTGTACCGGATATAGACCTATACTGGATGCATCAAAAAGTTTTGCTGTTGACGCTCCATCCGCTGAAAAGCTGACAATAGATATAGAAGACTTAGACATTTGTAAAGAAAAAGCTTGTTCAAAAAAATCATGCGAAGAGTTTGACTGGTGTTTTGTCAATTTGAAAAAAGAGAGAGTACATATAAAACTAAAGGACGATAAAGAATGGTTTAAAATACAAACTACTGCTGAAGTTTTTGAAATATTAAATGAAAAAGGGGATTCTTATATGTTGGTTGCAGGAAACACTGGAAAAGGTATATCATTATGAGCTTTAAACGTACAAAAACATCATTTATTCACAGTTTGCTTTTTTCAGGCGTTGTTCCACTTACAGAATATCCGAGAATATTAATTGATATAAGCGAAATCTCCGAATTAAAGGGTTATTATTTTGATCAAAACTTGGTGATAGGTTCTGGGACTACATTAACTGAGCTAATTGACATATTTAAGACAGTATCAGAAAAGGAAGAAGTATTCAACTATCTTGACGTATTAAATGAACATTTGAAGGAAGTAGCACATATAGCTGTTCAAAATGTAAGGATTAATTTTAATAATCATTTAATATAATATTCTAATCTCGTAGTTAAATATTTTTTGTTTATAGTTAGGTACGATTGCTGGAAATTTAATGATCAAACATAACAAGAAAGACTTCCCTTCTGATATATTCCTCATTTTAGAAACTGTTGGAGCTGCTTTAACTATACGTAAGTTGTTAAAAATTTATTGAATTTGAGTTTTAAGAAAATTTTCCTCCCAAAACTCACTAATGAAAAACCTATATCGAGTTTTGTAGTAATGGATGTTAATAAAACAATAAACAATTATTTTTCAGTACATCCTTCAGGCAATAAAAAAATAATTTCTTTGCCAAGTTTCCTACAAGAAAATATGAGGAGCAAGATAATATATAATGTCGTTTTACCACCGCTAAGTAAAAACTATCACATTGCTACATTCAAGGTGATGAAAAGAGCTCAAAATTCGCAAGCTATAGTTAACGCTGGTTTTTGTTATAAGCTAGATGAGACGAACCGAGTGGTATCATCCCGGATAATGTACTCAGGATTACGAAGAGGATACTCAAGAGCCTGTAAAACTGAAGTGTGTTTACAAGGCAAGAATTTATTTAACAATAATACATTACAAACGGCAATACAGATATTAGTAAAAGAACTAATCATTGACGAAATGCCCTACAACTCCGTTGAATACAGAAGGAGACTGGCCGTTGGACTTTTTTACAAGGTGACAATAACGAAAACTTCCTCATACTAATAGGTTAATGTTGTAATACAATATGAGTACCCAATCAATCAATCAATAATAAAACCTTGAAGATTAAGGAAAGTAAAATTTAGTAAAATGTGTAACGTCGACGATTTAATAATTTAATCTTCAATTTTATTTATAACTTTTAACCAATGTTTTAATTCTTTTAAGGGCTTATTATCTCTGTGTCCACCAACTATCCTGAACTCTAGATATAAATCCGGTGCAGTAAAGCTACATCAGTCGCGAGGAGTATCGAGCGGAAAGCAAGTCTACACCACTGACAGCAGCGTATGGCCAATCAATGAACCTATTAACAAAGTGGAAGGATTGGTAATAATTGAAATTTTTTATTGGTACTTACAAAACTGACGTGCCGTAGTTTTTAAGAAGGCACAAGGTGCTCATCAGCCACTACATTACACACTCAAGTAATCGGAATTAAATAAAAGTTCATTGATTTATTTTCTCAGATTCAATGCGCAGGAGAAGCTCCCTATGCAGAGGATCTAATTTCATTGCCGAATGAAGTTTATGCAGCATTTGTACTAAGTACTGTAGGCCGGGGACAAATGGATCAAATAGATGCAACTAAGGCTTTAGTGAGTCACATTAAAAATATATTGTAAGATATCAACTGTGTTGATGTTGCTTCGCTGTACTTTTACCTATTTCTAATAGTAGTATTGACATTGTTTTAAATAACAATACTATTAAATTATTGTTAGATCACAACACAATAAACATGTTAAAAATATAACATTTGACACTTAAAAATTATTGTATAAATCTTAACAATTACAGAATACCAAGGGTGTCATCGCGTTTTATACAGCCAAAGACATTCCTGGTGCTAATTCCTTTACTAACGGTGTAACTGGAACAACCACAGACGAAGTATTACTAAGCGATGGCGAAATTAATTTTTATAACCAGCCTATAGGAATAATTGTCGCAGAAAGTAATGAAATAGCTCAAAGAGCGGCAACATTGGTAAATGTTAAATATAGTTCCTCAAAAATACCTGTTGTAGATGTTAAAGTAGCAAAAACGTTAACAGAAAATGTAAGTCTTGTGAAGACTATAGACGCAAGTAAGGAAGGTAATGACGTTGTCACTGTTATACGAGGCAATAACACTATGTATGGACAGTACCATTTCTGTTATGAAAACGTAGTTTGTGTATCATGGCCGACAGAAGAAGGAATATCGGTTCGTTCATCTACTCAATGCACTGACTCAGATCAAGCAGCAGCAGCGCGTTGCTTAAATATTGATCAGAATAGGTAATCACATTAATCAATATGCTAAATAATGATTATTTATATTTATTTAGCTTTCAAATTTAAATATAAATATTATACATTTCAAAGAAATCTAATCTTTTCAAATAAATTAGGATTGACGTCGACGCTCGCCGTTGTGGTGGAGCGTTTGGTCTAAAGATCACTCGCGGTCTTCAAGTTTCATCGGCGTGTACTCTAGTTACCTACAAGTTAAACCGCCCATGTCGTTTTATTTTACCATTACGAACAACAATGAGGATCGTTGGAAAAAGGTTGCCATCCTCTGTTGACTATGAGGTAATTTTCATTATAGTTACAGATAAAATAATTGCATTATGCTCTATTGACATATTGTATTTAAAGATATCAATTGAATATTATATCCATAATTAATTCAAATAAATATATATGTAATATCAAACCCCGCAGGTTGGCCTGAACAGGGAAGGTGTTATACAGTACATAGACTATACTATTTATGAGGATAACGGTTACTTAGTAAATGAAAGATTAGTAATGCTTACTTACGACGTATATTATAATTGTTACCAGCAAGATAGATTTAACTTTAAGGCTTATAATGTTGTAACCGATACAGCTTCTAATACTTTTTGCAGATCTCCAGGTCAGTCAGAAATTATGTTAATTTTTTTTTTCCTTCTTACAAATAAAGACAAAGGATTGCGAAGTTAGAAGTAGTGATATGTTTAATTTTTCATGTTAGAAAAATCGTAAAGTAATCGTACGTAAAGTCCAGTTTTATAATAAAGTCATTTAACTTTGGGTTATTTGTATGAATGAAAATTTTTTCTACAGAAATACTCATATTCTAGTCAATACAAATTACTTAAAGATTATTATTGCAGGTTCTCTTGAGGCAATTACAGCAACTGAAACGATTCTTGAAAGGGTATCTTATGAATTAAACATTGACCCTGTAACGATACGTTTGTCTAACTTAGACCCAAAATATAAAAACATACTATGTGAAATGTTAGATAATCTCAAAGAAGATTCAAATTACAATGAGAGAAAGAAGCAGGTTGATGATTACAATAGCAGAAATCGCTGGAAAAAACGTGGTTTGAGATTTTTGTTTATGAAATGGAATTCTAAACCACTATATTATTGTGACGTAAATGTTTCTGTTTTACGTGGTGATGGAACTGTAATAATAACGCACGGCGGTGTTGAAATAGGTCAAGGAATAAATACTAAGGCGATACAAGTTTGTGCATATTACTTTGGCATTTCTGTAGACAAAATAAAAGTGAAAACTAATAACACAACTTTTAATCCTAATACGATGGCTACCGTCGGAAGTACAACTTCGCAAGCAATCTGTATTGGAGTTCAAAGAGCTTGTGAAAATCTCCTTGAAAAATTGAATCCTTTAAAGATAGAACTAAACAATCCAAAGTGGGAAACTTTAATACAAGAAGCATTTAAGAGAGGGATTGATTTGCAAAGTCATGGTTTCGTTACCACCAAAGATCTTCGCTACTTTGACGTTTACGGAATTACCTTGGCAGAAGTCGAAATTGACGTCTTAACAGGAGAGTGGAGTATACTAAGAGTAGACCTTTTAGAAGACGTTGGTAGGAGTGTGAATCCACTTGTTGACATTGGACAAGTAAGTCAATACGGTTTCTTATTCCATAAACGATTGAGAAGTGGAAGGTAAAATAATCGTTCTATTTTGCACTTTGCGTTTTGAAAAATGTAAACATATTTGTCATGCTTTTAGATAGAAGGTGCTTTCATTATGGGTCTCGGATATTTTACTACGGAGGAGTTAATTTACGACAAGACAGGGGAGCTCCTGACTGACCGCACATGGACTTACAAGATTCCTCAAGCTTTAGACATTCCTATAGATTTTCGAGTCTATTTTAAGCCAAAACCTTACAATGACGATCTAATACTCGGCGCTAAAGGTAACCTGCAACTAGTTCAAAAGAATATGTTGTAGTTGTTAGAACTACAAATAGTCATTTGGAATAAAAATATCTTGAAATTATATTGTCCCAATATAATTAAGTAATATATTATGTTTAAACTATTATTTAAAAAATTAAAATTTATTACACTATATATAGTCTTTAAATTAAGTAAACGATAACGATAACATGGTCTTTTAAATTTTTTTAGTCGTTGGTGAACCGGCGACCGTGATGGCTTTATCAGTACCATTTGCGATGCGAGAAGCTATTGTGTCCGCTAGAAACGAAGCTGGCATACCATCTAATGAATGGTTTCAAATAGGTAAGAAATACAAATGATATTGTATCGATAAAAATATATGAATTATCTACATCTACTCACATGTGACGGAGACCATATTACGAACAATGTGTAAAATTGAATAGCTATTGAAAACTTAAGAAGCTCCCCAAGAGTATTACTATACGTATAGTCATTTTGCATCTTTCGAATAGAATTCGTGAATTACCAATTGTATTGTAAAAATGAATTTTCGTTAATTATAGAGTTTATGTTTCAGATGGTCCTTACACAACAGAAAAAATATGTGTAGCAGCAGCTACAGACATCAAAGACTTCAAATTCTACTAAAATAAAAAAAAATATAAATTTAACTATTCGCTTTCACAATTAGTTCAGAATTATGATCGAGTTTTATAAATGAATATAAAGAAGTGTGTAGTACCTATTACATATATAAATATAGTGATAACAACGGTGTCTGCCAAGTAAGCAAATAAGTTCTCACCAGTTACACTCATAATGTAAATAAAGCCGAGTGGCAAGGTAAGGTTAAAATGTTTAAATGATCGTTGCCGCTTTTCTTGAGACAGTAAAGTCGAAACATTACCGGGCAATTTGCATCGCTTTCCCGGAACCTAATTTTCTTTAATCTTGAAATATAAAGTACCTTAAAATTATACTTATTGTTAAATTTTAAATCTACAAATAAATTGAAAGTGCAAAATATACTATATTTGTTAACTGTATCAAAGAAAGGACTAATGAAACACTGTACATCTAATTCACAATCACTTACAAAATTATTCAAAATAAACATATCATCACGAATCTCTCAAATAATTATCTTCCGGAGAAAGTTCACTCGATAATGTTGGATCTCTCATTGTTTGTTCAGGCTCTTCGTCTTCGCTCTTACTTATTTTATTGTAATTACCTTGATGTTCAATATTATATGGGTTTCTATTATAAAACTGTCTGCTATTGTGAATTAAACTAGTTGATTGCTCATAGCTCTTCACCCGTCTCGCTATAAATTTTCGTCTACATATAGGACATACTCGTTCTAAATAAGATCTTTTATTCAATTTAAATAAAGTGCTTTCTGTAGACCTCTGTGTCGTCAAGCTCAAAGGCGTAGTAACTTTACTGGCCTTCCCCTTTAGTTTTTTTGATGCAAAGTTGAATAATTTTCTTTTTTTGTTCTTTGGCCGAGTCGTCTTCCGTTTTTCATGGGAAAAAAAAGGAATTTTCATATTTTTAAACACGCTGTAACAATTGTGTATATTAGTATTATTTGAAAGGCGCCAAAGTAGTGTATATCTTTATCTGCAGCAGGTGTAAGTATTATAGGTGCAATCAAGATGATTTCAATAAACGTTGTTTAAAGCTATTCAGTGGGCTTTAAAAAAAATAGTTTGAACAGATACGGGTAATATCTAGAAACCTTTTTAAAAATTTATTAAATTAAACAATAGTTGCTGTTCAAAATATTAGTCTAAGTCATTTTGCTACAAATTTTCATTCAGGCGTTAATTTTTGTTTTTAGGTATTGACGTACATTTTTCTTCAACCGTGTGTAATTCACTGACTAGTCTACTTCTATTTAATAGCCCTATAAATACTAATTGATAATATAATTTGAAATGTCGGTAGACTTTATAAGTTGCATCAAATGAAAGAATCAATTTACATCTGCTGGTTGGATTCAATACTAAGTAATATATATATTATGCTGTATATCTGCTAGAAACGAAACCATAACACATACACGTAAAAGGCAGGTGCTAATCAACTAAAAAGACGAGATGTTATTCTTACCATTTCTTTTGTAAATTCTTGTAGTTATTTTGGGTATTAAAATTGTCATATCTTTGAATTTCCTTCTCATTCGTAGCTAGTGAACGATCGTTCCGGTAACTCTGAGGTTTTTCATCGAATAAACCATCGTCGTGTGTATCTTTATTCGAGTAATCCTCATTTCCTTGATACTCTTCTAAGTTGGCCTCAACTAGTGAGTCAAAATTATTATTTGATAGGTAGTCTCTGTAAAGAGTGCAATGTTTTAAACAAACAATAACCTATGCCGATGTAATTTTTATTATTTACAATAAATTTGAGAATCAAATCAAGCAAATATTTGTTTTTTATGTTTACGACTGTAATGTAACACGTCGACCGATAGCCAATCGTAAGAACACATTGGAAAGAAACTAGTTCAAATCTAATTACTCTTACCGTGAATCATCGGCTACTTCGAATCTATTATTTAACCCGTCGTCATCAGCAGTTTGAATTAAACCAGCAACGTCGATGTTAGCCACTTCACTATCATCCATTTCATCTGTCTTATAGCCTCCCTTCCTCGAACGGTCATTAGGATTCAGGTCCAAATAGTCATAACAAAATACGATATTTACAAACAATAAGCATAACAAAATATTTTCGGACATGTTTTTGTGACATGCTTAAACGATAGCGCTGTCATATTTCTTTTTTGGATGATATATGGAGACCAAACTTTTTGGTAAACTGATTGTTAAATCTAAAAATTCAACATAAGGATCGATTACTTTCCCTTCTATCCAAATATTATGAAACCTGCTCCACTAAATCCATGTCAACATATTTTTTTTATCTAAGTGAAATAGCACGACCAACGTGGTAAAGGGCATAATATTTCAATATCCCATATAATAGTTATTAGGTAGTTTACATTATACATTGCAGTATCTGCTATCCCTCTCTTATTGTATTGTACAATAAATCGCTTCCATTTATCAATACGGTATTTAATAAATTGTCTTCAGTGACATTATAGTCTAGGCGCAGGTAGGCCGATGTAAGTACGATAAATCTCCCGAATTTATGAGCCCCCTCCCTCTCGGTGTAATCTCGTGAAACGAATGGGAAGGGTTGGATAACGCACCGTACTTAATATGACGCGAGGCCACTCATTAACCTACTTAACAAACATGTGCTTGCAAAGGTTATTTCTTTTTTTAAGTAGAGAGTGTTTCAAAATAAGTAATGCTTAATTCTGAGACGAAAGTAACTCAATCTGGTGCACTACGGCGAGCCAGTGTATACGAGTAGAAGGCTCAAGGAAGTCCCTAGGACTAGGTAAATAGTCGTACTTGAATTCGTGTGATGTTAGTTATTTTTACTATGTATTTGCGTATTGTTCCCACGAGAATGTAAGTGCTTGCTCCTATTTCACCATGCCTCCTGCTGATAGAGAAAAAAATTTTGTTTTTAATTTATTTTATTACTATTTATTTCTTAAGATGTCATGTAGAACATGGTGTAATGGTTACAGCTCCTTACAAACGTTGTGTAAAACAAAGAACTTGGCGATTGAAAAGAGTGGGGAAGAGTTTATTGCCAGTTCTTCTCTTCCGTTCTACGCCCTTGATTTGAGAACTGGCAGTAAATGTAAAATTAGAAGCATTTAATGTTCTTTTTTGACGTTCATAAGTGTACATTGTGTTACCTATATGAATAAATGATTTTTGACTTTTGACTCCAGACTTACGGTAATATAAAAACCAGAGAACAACTTCTCCTGAAATAAATTTATAGATTCCTCTTCATCCAACTTGAATGTTTAACCATTCGTACTGGGACACAACACGAGCCCAATCTGTTTAAAGTAAAACTTTTTAAAACAGTCACAAATGAGTTAGGATTGTTACCGAAAACTGAAAGCTCGCGGCGAGTTCGGATCTAATTTAGAAAGGCTTTACGTGTCGCGAGAGTGCGAGCCGCAGACCGTGGGTAGGTAACTCAAATACCAACTTCATTTAAGATTCGCGACGAATCAAACCTCCTACTGTGAGAACTCGGCAAATTGGCGCGCTAAAATCTGTCAAAACTAAATACAGTTTTAGGTTTTGTTTATTATATTGCATAAAAAAAACCTATTACAGAAGTAAAATATTGAGTTAAGTAAATAATTTATAATATTGTTACGAGCTAGGGGATCGGATAGAAACACCGTAGATTTCTTCAAGGGTTTATTTTCAATTAAATCTACGAGGAATTTGTTTACACTAAAAACTGGAAATTACTCACAAAAATTCACTAAATACACACAGAAAATACTGTCACTAATTACTTTAATTACACGCAGTACTTTATCACTTGTCTTCACTGTATTCGCACTATGTCACTTCGGTGTTTATCTCATGATATCACATTCAAAACTGAACTCATCGGTCGCGTTTCGGCTCGCTTATATATGGGGATAGTCCTGAACGATGTTCGAGAACTCTCTAGGCGGGAGCGCTACTGAGTAGCGATCGCACAATTCTAGAACGTGCGTATTCGCTATCTCTCTCGCACATTGCTCGGTCCTTGTCGTACGGTGTTCTAGAGTGCTCGGCCTAGCTTCAAGAAGGTTCCGATCTTCCGTCTCTCTCTCGTATCATTCCGTCCTTGTTCCACACCTAGAAAATTCGTTCTAGACTATTTCTTCATCAAAGGGGTATAACCAGGCCTGAAAACGCCTGGAAACGGGTTTCCTGAAAAGTGTACCACTCGACTACACCTGTTCTGAAACGGCCTGAAAAAATGTTATTTATATATTACGATTTTCTAATATGTGATTGACCCTCTCCTGAAACGGTCAGAAATCACATTTCAGCCTGCTGAAAAGTTCTCTAAGTAGTGGAAAAATCAAGAAACATTGCAGTCGACCCGTCTTCGTAACAATATTTTATGTTACATTGAAGCAATTTAAACAACGGGATAACAAAGTATTAAAAAAAACCCGGACCTATGAGGAGCGTATATTATACTGTATTAGGATAACTTAAATAATTAGGTTTTCTTAACTTGTATAATTATAATTTCATGACCGAATAAATAGATTCTAAACGGACGTATCTTAAGCTATTGTACTAATGGCAAATTATTATATATGTTATCGAGAACAAATAGTAATAGAAATGTAGAAGTGGTATTCGAGGCGGTTTTTGAACTGCAACTCAAATAATTCGCCCATTTCGCTGGAGGAATTTTAGATTGGTAACTTGAAGTGAACTCGCGCGAGTCAGGCTCTTTTAGTAACTTTAAGCACGGGGGCACGTGTTTGTATACTTGGGCAGTATTTTCGTTTCGGATCATTGGGAATAATTTATATCATAGCGGACAATGCTTATGAAAGATATACAATTTCTAAGTTAAATACAGTGTCTATAGTCAGTACACTTTATGCAAGCATTGTGTTGCAGTGCAATGTGCCTGCCCATACGATATCGAGATATTATTTGTTTTGTTTCACAGCTCACTGCATCCTGTAACTAAGTTCTACTCTCTTCAAAAACCTAAAAAAACATTGTCAGGGTTTTGTTTCTAGAACTCTTGTATACGTAATGTACTCACAAATGCATTTTAAATGAATAAAAATATTTTTTTATTAATAATTAACTTCGACATATGGCTGATTTTTTTTTATATTATGTGTGAGAGAAAACGTTTTGTGTTCAAATATAATTGGCGAATGTCTTTCGTGTGACTGCCTGTTCACTCATTACAGTAGATTTGAAAGGTATTAATTGTAGGTATTGTTTAAATACCGTACAGTACTTGTATGTAAACCTGGAGATAATTTCAAACGAAGGTGCCGAACTTTATCGGCATGTTATACGCAAATAGAACATGAGATACTACTCTTAGCATTTCATCATTTTCACTATTTACCTTAGGGGACAATTGTATTGTTTTAATTATTAGAACTGAAACCAATAACAAGAACAAACAATAATTATACATTTAGAAAGAAATATTTTGTAATTTAGAATTTATTTATTTAGTTAGGGAGTACAGAAAAATATACTTTCTTGATTTTAAATGTGTCAAGCTGTATTCGTTATTATAAAAGTCAAAGCGTGGAGCGTGAAGAGAAGGCGCTAGCGCGAATAATCACGATTTAATTTTGCTGCCACTTACAGAATAATAGGCTATTTAATATTTTGTTACGAGATTTTTTGAAGCTTTAATATCAGTCCACTTGAAATGGACTTTCACTAAAATGTCAAGTTCCTGCTGTAACACTCAAATTAATCTCAACGAAGCACAGACTTATCCATTTTAAGCTAAGATAAAAGTTACAGGTATTTCCTGCTGACAGTTTTAAGTTATGAAATAATGTCGTAAATATTATATGGAGTTTCTACTCTAAACGTAAGAATAAAAATCTCGAGAATCGATAAAGAATCCTTCATATTGATAAACAAGGTGTTTTTACGGGTTTATTCAAAAATTCAAATTTGTAATCAAATGCTAGTATGTATATGTCATCGGGGGCAGAGTAGTGTGAATTGAAAATCAAGGCAGGCACAATTGAAATTGCAACGCTCCCTGGGTATTTTGAATTCTCACTACGGTACTCTCAAAAACCTGCCTATTTTCCAGGTAAATTAAAAGAGAGTCACAAATATTCCTAGAAAGTCTTATATTATAAAGTAATAAAACAAAGTTATATATGTATCGACTTTTAGTCAGCAATAATTGTCTATACAATAATATATAATATAAAAAAACTAACTTGTGGCAGCACTAGCATTGGTCGCGGCCTCAGATTTATATATATCCGTTTTCTTCATTCTTTCTTATTAGACATAAAAAGAAAATCTTTAATCGTGACTCCAACGCACGAATCAAGGTTGAGTTTGAGTGCCACTACCTTGAGCTCCCTAAAAAGAAATTTAAAATTTGATGATAGAAACAGATATAAATTATGTTTTATATCTCATTTGTATTGAAGCTTCGTTATTATGAAGTGCTAATCAGAATGTAAATTGTGCTCGTTTCGTTGTAAAACTTCAGTCTTTGTTATAAGTAGAAGCGTTTTAAGCATAATATCAAATAAATTATATAATTGAATTCTTTGATGTGATTTAAATCATTATTATATTATTATTATTATTAATAATCATTCAGTATTTTGTTATTTTAATGCATTTCTTCGAAAAAATAAATTTGATAACAAAAAAAACTATATAGTAATGAAACCTAATAAAACGGCGAAACGCTCTGCTTCACAAATATAAATTTACCTTATTAGAATGATTCAACAAAAGTAACCATTCGCCTCTTTCTGACAAATTGCGTTTACGTTGTGATTGAAAGAGATAAAACATATTGATTTACTGTTTATGAGGGATATATATAACGATAATTATATACATATATATGTACATACCAATTCGATCCTACAAGCACTTACAAATGGCATACAGCTTTAATTAAGAAACACTTTTTGATAGTGTAAAAATCTTTCTTGTTTAAAAATGGTATAGATCTATGGAAAATAAAAAAATATTACTAAAATGGTCGACAAACGATTGGACGAAGGAGAAATATGACACAATCTCTCCCCAGGGAACAACATGCTTTTGTAATTTGACATCTTTTCGAGCTCTCACAGGAATAATACGTCAAGTGTTCA